GGCCTCCTCGGCAGGCGCAAGCTCCCGTTGTTGCTGCCGCTCGCGGGCCCGGCTCTGGAGCCGCTCGAGCAGCGCACGAGCCCGGCCGCCCGCCTCGGCTTCTGCCCCCTCCCGGCCGGCCGTCTCGGGGCCCCGGTACCGCGCGACGTGAAACAACGCCATGCCACCCAGTGCTGCAGCTGCTGCTCCGCGCGCAGTGATGATGCTCGGGAAAGGCCCCTCCCGTCGCGCGCCATGACGTCGCGAGCGCGCCGCGTGGCGTCACGGGCGCGCCAGCAGTGCAGTTAAAGACGCCAGGTTTTCCACGCGGCCGCCGGCGGCATGGAGCGGGAACCGGGTGCAGAGGGCGCGCGCCGGGCTCTGGGCCACCTGCTGCAGGCGGTGCTGGCGAGCCGCAGCGAGGCCAATGCCGTGTTCGACATCCTGGCCGTGCTGCAGGTGGGCGGGGCGCGTGTGAGGGCTGCGGCTGCTGGGACTCCGAGACCGGGTGCCGGGTCGGGGTGGGAGGCGTGAGGTCATGCAGGAGTGAAGTCACCCTGCCCGACCTCTCGGCACAGTCTGAAGACCCGGAGGAGATCCAGGAAGCAGTCCACACATGCAGCCGACTTTTTGGGGCTTTGCTGGAGCGGGGAGAGCTGTTTGTGGGCCAGCTGCCCCCCGAGGATACGGTCCTGGCAGGTGAGCGGCCTGGCGGTGTCAGGAGCGCTCCCCAAGGTCTTGAGGGAGTTTGGTCAGCACGGGCCAGCCCCAGGCGCTGCCAGCGGCGCGGGTCGGTGGGAGGACAGCCAAGCCACTCTGGAAGGGGCTGAGACTGTGCGTCCGCGGCCTGGTCTAAAAGGAGGGCAAAGAGTAGGATTTTGTGTTGTGTGTTGTGAATGTCACTTAAAATGTGAATATCACTTGAAATGTGAATGTCACTTAAAATGTGAATGTGAATGTTGTAAATGTCACTTAAAATTGGAATCGCGTCAGTTTTTGGGACATTCAGGTCCTGGGGTTAAGTGAGGGGAACGGACCCTGCCGCTGTGCACTAGGCTGGGGCACAGACCTGTTTCCCTCTTTGCAGGGTTCTGGGGATGGCTGGTCCCAGCCCGAGTCGAGGCTGCAGTGCCATTTCCAGCACGTGGCAAAGGGCAATGGGGGTGGGTCTGGCCTGGCGGTAACCACCAGCACTGGATGGCCACCCTAACCCCTACCTGCAGGGTCTCACGGAGCCATGCGCAAGTACAAGATCTGGATGCGACACCGCTATCACAGCTGCAGCAGTCACCTAGGCGAACTCCTGGCCCACCCCACCTTCAAGGTCAAAGTGAGTCTCGGGGTCATTGGACTCGTCTCAACTTTATTTGTCGCAGTATGCGTATTTCTGAGGCTTTCCATAACGTGAGCCCAGGGCCCTAGGTGGAGGGATACTTTCTGTGCTTGTTTAGGTAAGCTCCCGAAACACCGTCCCCACCCCACAGCTGTCTCACTAGCACCTGTCTCACGTCATGGTACTGTGGACAGCCCTGGAAACACTACGTTTGTAGCTATGGTTCTAGTACTGAGCCTTACAGTCCAACGGCCACCCCATTGGCTTTTCAAACATAAGCTTCCACGTGCATCCTGAGGGTTTGTGTGGCGTCTTCACAGTTGGGTGACAGGGAACAGACCTGGCCTCTGTGTGCTTCCTGGGTGTCTGGTTAGTATGATGAAATCATATCACTGTCACATCACCGTGTGGGCGGGGTATAGAACCAAGATACAGGATTTTGTCACCCTCTTGGGCAAGGTCTGGGCCTCACTGTGAGGGGTTCCTGGTGGGGTGAGCTCTCTGGGTCACTCTGTTGCCCACGTTTCTCAGGAGCTGGTGCTCAAGACCCTCATGAAGTTTGTGCAGCTGGAAGGGGTGCATCCCCTGGAGAAGCCCAAGTGGGAAGGCCAGTACCTGTTCCCCCGCAAGCTTTTCAGGGTGAGAACCTAGTCGCAGCCTGGAATAGCCAGGGAGGGGGCTACCTGAGCTAGTGATGGTGGATGTGACAGTCCCCACTTGTCCTGCTCTGAGAACCTTCCCCTGGCCGGGAGAGGGACCTGGCATGGTGTGTAGCTCATGGCACACGTGCAGCTCCCCACCTCCTCACGCTCAAGGGAAAAGTGCTCACCCACTCCTGCCCCCAGGCGGTGGTGGGAGGCCTGCTCTCTCCAGAACAAGACCACAGCCTGCTGCTTAACCAGTTCTGTGAATACCTGGAGTTTGATGATATCCGCTACCACACCATGCAGGCAGCCTCTGATGCTGTGGCCCAAGTCACCAGCCAGCATCCCAAGGTGAGGACAAGTGGATCCTGGGTGGGTGGGTGGTGCGAGCTGCACAAGGGTGCTCAGGCCAGGCTTCCTAGGTGTCCCTTGCTTTCTGGAACAACGCTTTCACCCTGCTGTCAGCCGTGAGCCTGCCCCACCAGGAGCGTGACATTTCCAACTTCTATGTGAAGCACGTGGGTGAGCGCTGGGAGGCTGAGGCCATGCCCGTTCTGCCCTGGTGGGAGCGGTAACAGAAGGGCCCATCTACCCCTGCATGCCAGCCGGGTAACCACTGGCTTCCTGCTGTCCTTACAGAGCCATCAGACATGTGGAAGGTCACTCATTTGAAGGTGAGAGGCATCAGGACCTGGGTATCCTCCCTGGCTAGGTAGAGTTTGACCCAACCTGGGCCCTCCTGGCTGGCTTTAGGCCAGGGGTTCCTCTGCCACTCATCTTCGAGGGCTTCATGGGTCCCTTTCTGTGCTGAGGCTCCTTCACCAGCAGGTCCAAGATCTGGTGCTTTGCACCTTGGCCTGGGGTCCTAATGTTTAGTGCCCAGGTGAGGGGGCCGGGGCTGTGTGGGGCTAGGGCCGTCCAGGGTGCGCTGAGCGGCCTGGCTCCATTGCAGGAGCATAGGAAGACGTTCCAGGCCATGTGGCTCGGCTTCCTCAAACACAAGGTAGGGCCCTGGGATGGGACCACTGGAATGGGACCACTGGGATGGGACCACTGGGTTACGGGGGCTGGGGGAGGTTGGCCGTGCCCTGATGCCCATGTCCATGCCAGCTGCCCCTCAGTCTCTACAAGAAGGTCCTGGTGACCATGCATGACACCATCCTGCCCCACCTAGCTCAGCCCACTCTCATGATCGACTTCCTCACCAGTGCCTGTGACGTGGGTGAGTGGGTGCTGCCAGGCTGGGGGTGTGGGCAGGGGTGACGGGTGGAGGTCTGCAGGCTGGTAGAGGCTAGACTTCTCCTGTGTCGGTCTTGGGTGCAACATTGTGGCTGATGCTCAGCTCCTGCTGCTGCATTTCTGACTGGGACAGGGCAGAGGGTGGGTGGGCAGCCACCTGGGCCTTGTGCCCGGCTGGGTGTTGCTCTGGGCCTGAGATCCAGGGCCATCTGTCTGCAGGGGGTGCCATCAGCCTCTTGGCCTTGAACGGACTTTTCATCCTGATTCACCAGCACAACCTGTGAGTGTCGTGGGGCCAGGGCTGGGGAAGCTGGCCGAGGGAGGGGCTGGAGACACAGTTCCCTGGGGCCTGGTTTGTCTTTCCACCAGTGGCTTGCCCATGTGGCCCTGTGGTCCTTCCCTGCAGGGAGTACCCCGACTTCTACCAGAAGCTCTATGGTCTCCTGGACCCCTCCATCTTCCATGTCAAGTACCGGGCCCGTTTCTTCCACCTGGCCGACCTTTTCCTGTCTTCCTCGTGAGTCCTGGGATGGGCCCCGTGTGTCTGAGGAGGCCCCACCTGGCCTCTGAGCTGCCGAGAGGGGGAAGAGGGGCCCAGCCTCAGCCAGGGCAGGAAGGGGGCCGCTGGTTTCTGATGCCCCCTCCCTGCCCAGCCATCTCCCTGCCTACTTGGTGGCAGCCTTTGCCAAGCGCCTCTCCCGCCTGGCGCTGACAGCGCCCCCCGAGGCCCTGCTCATGGTGCTACCCTTCATCTGCAACCTGCTGCGCAGACACCCGGCCTGCCGCGTCCTGGTCCACCGCCCTCGGGGCCCTGGTGAGTTGGGTGGGCCAGATGTCTGGTGAGGGCCCTGCTGGGCCCCTTGTCCCAGAAGACAGGGTGGCAGATGGGCTGGATCTCATTCCTAGAGCTGGATGCTGACCCCTACGACCCTGAGGAGGAGGACCCTGCAAAGAGCCGGGCCCTGGAGAGCTGCCTGTGGGAGCTGCAGGTGAGGGTGCCGTGGTCCCAGAGAGTGTACCCGCCCCGTTCCGGGCCCTGTGCAGCCCAGGTCACCCTGGTTACTTGGGGCCGCTTCCTGAAGCTCTGCTCTGATGAGGGCTCGTTAGGACAAAGCCGCCCACGTCTGGGCTCTGGGGCGCTTTGTGTCCCTTTGCACCTGTGCTGGGCGTGTGCAGCACAGACGGCGCAAGGCCCGAGGCCCTGACACACTTTGGCCCTGCAGACTCTCCAGCAGCATTACCACCCCGAGGTGTCCCGAGCTGCGAGCGTCATCAACCAGCCACTGTCTGTCCCCGAGGTCAGCGTCACGCCGCTCCTGGGGCTCACAGCGTATGAGGTGAGTGTGGGGCGCAGGGCAGGCAGGGCTCCCAATGCAGCCAGGCCTGATGGTCCTGTCCTCTTCAGATCTTCGAGCGGGACCTGAAGAAGCAGCTGCCCGAGTCGGTGCCACTGGAGTTCATCCCCGCGCAGGGCCTGCTGGGCCAACGGGAGGGCATCTGCGCCCAGCTCTTCACACTCAGCTGACCCCACCCCCCACTCCAATAACTGGTTTTGTGGCAGAAGTGTCTGCACTCAGCAGAGGGAGCAGGGCACTGGCCAGGTGGGGAAGGGCACCTGGTGCAGGAGTGGCAGAGCCGCGGCAGTGGTGTGGGGCGACAGCAGCCTGGTGACACCTGCTGTGCGCTCTCGCGGCAGCGGAATGATGGTTCTTTGGGGGAGCAGGGTGGGTGTGCAGTTGAGACGCTCGGGGTCACCTTGCCCTCGCCTTTGCCATGGCTGCGGGTGCACAGGGTCCACGGTTGTCCACTCCCACCCCAGCCTGTCCTTGGCCCAGCCCTGCGTACCCCAGGGAAAGTTTTCTGTAGGACTCCTGCACGTGGGGGCAGAGGCGAGTGCCCCACTCCCAGGCTCGGGCAGCTTCTGCCCACGAACCCCCTGTGAGCCCCATGTGCCCTGCCCACCCAGGCCCTTCTCCAGGGACGGTGGCCCTGCACTGTCTTTTCCCTGTCTGTGTGGTCTGGAGGGGCTGCTCTGGGAGCCGGGGGCCCTGCTTGTGGTCCGTGGGAACCTCGGGGCACAGCGGTGGTAGAGCAGAGGTGCTTCCTGCTGTGGGGTTTGGGGACACAACACTGGCTTCCCAGTCACCTTCCTCAGCCACCCTCAGGCAGTTGGGCTCCTGCCACGGGCCCTAGGCACCAGGCGCCCCGCCCAGACGGCTTTGCCCTGATTGCCCCAGGGTGCATACCCCAGTTTAAGCCTGGCCTTGGGGAGCCCCTGCATGCCTTGTCAGTGTTGCACATTGCCGCCAGCTGCGGGGAGGCCTGGCTGTGTGCCCCACCCCCGCCCCACCCCTCAGCTTAGGGTTGTGGGGCAGCAGCCTGGGACCGAGGAGCTGACATCCTGAGCTTTTGCAGCCACCGGGTCCACCACAGGCCGCATGGGACAGCCGGAGCCTCTGGCTTCATGAGATGCGGAGGAAGATGAAAGTCGGGGCCGCCAAGCACCTCAGGTGCTGCCATGCACATGCCCCGGCTTCTTGTGGGCTGAGAACGGGAGCCGCTCACCCACTGCCTAGTGCCCTCCCAGCCTCACACGCTCCCCGCCCCCTGGGTTGCACACCTGGAAATGCTCACAGTCCTGAACCTGTCACCTCCTCTCTCGAGCCAGAGTGTTTGAAAACCACTTCATAAAAACCCAGACCCGGGAGAAGCCGTGTTTAACGTGGATGTGTACTGTGCGGCCTTTGGGATGTTGGAAACCAAAGTTAGATACACGCATGAAGTTGACTTTGCTCAAGCACTCAGGTAGCTGGGTGTGGTGCGGGGCTGAGGTCCCAGCTGCTTGGGAGGCTGAGGCAGGAGGACTACCTGGGCCAAGCAGTCCCTCCATCCGTGGCAGGGGAGGCAGTTCCAGGGTTTGGGGTGACCCCTTGTGCATCCGCTTCCTGTTGCAGTAGTAGCAGCAGCTGGTAACCCCTCAGTGCCCAAGTCTAAGGGCCATGCGGTTTACCGTGGCCTGTGTTGGGCCGCTGGGTTTCCCAGGCACCTGCTGTGTGCAGGAGCTGGGCTTTGAGCCCTGGTCCTCCCTCACCCGGGGCCAGGACAGCAGCCCCTAACTCTTCTCTGCGCCTCCTGACACGGCTGTAGCGTGGCTGCTGGACAGTCAAGTTGCAGTCGCACGGCAACACCCATGTCTGGTGAGGTGTGGTGACAAGTTGCAGTGGGCATCTGGGTGGGTTTCAGCATGGAACTGCAAGGAGCCCAACATCTGTCTGCCCATCTTCGTGTGCCCACGACACCTGGCTGCCCCTGGGACCTCATCTCTTACCCCCAGATGCTGCCAGCCTCGCTCCTGGACCAGCAAGGGCCGCTTGGTGCTGTGGCCGCTACGAGAGTTGCTTTAGGAGTTTATTGTGCTGCACACGGCTGCTGGGGAGGCACGTCACCCCCACACAGGCAGTGTGAGGACAAGGGTGCTGGTGCTGCTGAGAGTGACCAGGGCTGTGAGCCCGTGCGGCTGCACCCAGTGCAGCTACCTGCGGGGCTGCCATGTTAGGAATGCGTCCCTGTCACTGAGGCCCCATAACACCCAGCCTCAAGACTGGAGACCCGGCTAGGCCTTGCGGACGCCCAGGAGGGGGGCCTGTGCGAGGTTGTGGCCCCCACGAGTGAGGGCAGTGGGGGCCTGTCCACATGCTGTAGCGCAGGAAGTCACCTCGGGTTTCCTACCTGTCCCTGGCGTCCGGCGGAAGCGCGTCTGCCTGGCCTGAGTTGTTCTGGAAGCGTGCGGCAGGTGGTGTGTGGTGCTGCGTGCCTCCCCAGCCCGCCCCCTCCCGCCCATGGGCTGCTGTCCTGTGCCAGACCCTGTGCACTGGCGCTGAGCCCGTGGGTTGGAGGCGCCCAGCTCTGGAATCCCCGTCCGAGAGCCTCACTGAACTCCCCTGTACGCGCACCTTCTGCAGAGATGGCTCGGAGTCCCCCTGAGCCTTCCTGGGCCACGCCTGTCACCCTGGCTCCTCTCCCCCTCTACACGTTTAGAAAACTTGGTTTCTGAGGCAGCAGCCACGTAGACAAGGGAGCCATCAGAACCAGCACACAGAGGCCCGGCCCGGCCTAGAGCAGGCGGAGCGGGAGGCCCGCAGCCGTGGCTCCAGCTCTGGGAAGACTCTGCGGTAGCAGCGGCGCCAGCCAAAGCGCGTTATAGCCCAGAGCCCCGGGAAGTGAACCACATCTGTCTGTAACTAATAGATGCCACACTGATTTCATCCCACCAGACCCAGCTGCTCAGCACTGCGCAGCCAGGGCCCTGCGGTGCCCCCAGGGTTGGTGTCTGCAGGAACTGCAGGCCCTTGCCCGCGGGGTCGCTCTGTGTCCTCACAGCCTGGCAGGAGGGTTTCCAGGCTTCCACACCTGCACCAGTGCTGGCTGCATCCCTTCATCTGTCAGGCATTCGCCTCTGCCATCCTGTTGTCGCCGTCTTCCCCTCCCCCATCTACAGCCACTTTCGGCTATCACGTGTCAGCCCATCCTTCCGTCCACCTGTCATCACAAACCTGTGTATGTACCTGCCGTCTGTCTACCATCCATCGCCTGCCTCTGCTGGGCCGTCTGTCCATCCTGCAGCTGTCCCTCACCTGCCATACCTGTGTGTATCGTATGTGTGTGTGTGCACTGTGGCGCCTGTCTTACCTGCAGATCTATGTGTACCTGTGGGTGTATCTGTCTCCAGACCTATCTGTAGGCATGTCGAGGTACATTACCTGTGTGCGTCTCCCGTGGGTGTGGCAGTGTGTCGTGTTCAGGGTCTGTGCTTGTCTTGGTCACATGCCTAGCTGCTAGGATACGGTACCTACACGCACAGGTGCAGGAGCTCAAGCTTTGGCAGTCTCAGTCCTTGTGTGGTCAGCTGCTCCGAGGCAGGGCGGTGTGGCTCGGCAGCTCAGAGAGGGACAACTGCTCAGGGTACGGGGGACAGGAGACTGAAGGGGAGCAGGGAGGGAGAGGCACTCTTCCGGGCCACACCCCAGTGACCACCTCTCCAACCAGACTCCCCAGCAGCACGGCAGCCCCAGCCCCGTGATCCAGTCTTCCACAAGGCTATGAGGCCACTGAGCTGCGACCCTTAGCGGTCCGCCCTGTGTGTGCACCCAGATGCGCGTGTGCCTGTGCAAGGACACGTGTGTGTCACTGTGCACGTCTGTGTGCTGGGTTTCCCGGCCTCTGAGCGGCGAGCGATGACCTGTCCCTCATCATGACCCGCCTTCTCTCAGGGTCCTGCTTCAGTGAGGAGGTGGGCCGGGAAGACCTGGCTGTGGAGGGGAGCTCTGGGGCTGAACCTGCAGCTGGGGTGTGGGGTGCTGTGGCCCAACAGGCATCCTGGTCAGCAGGGCAGGGAGCGGCCCCCGTTACCCACTGTGCTGGGGCCCCTGGTGGTTTTGAGCAGCATCCTTTGCTTCATCTGGGGCTCACACACTTAGGGGTCTCCCTAATGGAAAGGTGGGAGGGGCGGGGCAGCTGCCCAGCCAGGGTCTGACCCAGGACACCTGTGCCTGACCTCCTGTCCTGGCCCCACCCACCTCCGTGTGAAGTTGTGCGTGGTGGCAGATGCCCTGCTGGCTGACACCCTGCTGGCCCTGGGGCGCAGTCTGAGGTCTCCCTGCCCCACCAGGCTCCCAGATGGCTCGCTGCCCGCAGAGCCCCAGTGGCAAAGCTGGTGCTCTGGGGAGCCTTGCTCTGGGATTGTCTCATCAGGTCAACCTGGGAAGGCAGGCTGAGATGGCTGGCACCGCTGCAGTCCAGGAGCCTCTTCAGCCCAGCGCCAGACCTGCCCCTCCCTTATCCACAAGGTGGCCTTGGGTGGACAGGCGGCACTGTCCCCTGCTTTCCCTCAGTGAGTCATTGGCACCTTCGCGGCCTTGCCGGGGGTTTTGAATGAGCAGTTGTGAAATCGGAGCTGCAGCACTAGCAGTGCTGTTCTGGGGCTGAGTCGCCGTAAGGGCCGAGCCCTGCCATCCCCCCTGTCCCTGTGTCCCCCAGTAAGGGTGCTGCACACGTAAGGATCTGGGCTGGACCCACTTCCCTGCAGCCACTTTCAAGGAACCCTGGTGTGGGGCCAGGAACCAGAGCAAGGACAGCTGCTCAAAATACCAGGAAACCAGTGGATAACGGTCACCCCATCCCCCGCAAGAGCCCACACGCACACAGCCCGGGGGCAGGACTCTGGCCGGCGCCCAGCAGTTTTGGTCCCAGAAGGGCTTGGACACAGTGACGCTTGCTCTAAATCCTCGCTGGACAGAAGCGCCTGCTCTGCTCGAGCTTTGCTCTGCGTCCTCACCTGCTGCGGGCTTCCTCCGCCACTCTGCACAGATGTCCCTGCCCAGGCGGCTCCCCTAGGGCAGAGACGACCTTTTACCACAGCCCTGCCTAGGCCCACGCGCCGCTTGGTGTCACCTCCTGTCCCAGGGGGAGATGTGGGGCCGAAGCCTCACCGTGTGTCTTCCTGTCACTCTGCGGCCTCCCAGGGACTCGGAGAGCCACTCACTTCTCTGCAGCCTCCAGAGGCCCTGTGCGCTCTGGCAGCCTGGCGAGCCCTGACCTCTGACCTCTGCTTACTCCAGTCACATCTCCCTCCCTGGCTCTGGCCAGACCCTGGTGACCAAACCCAAGGCCAGCCCCAGTGACCAAGGCAACCTCTCCCTTCTCCACCTGCAGCAACCCTCGGCACGGCCCCCACCAGCCTGTGCCCAGCGCCACCTGCCCGTGTGACCGTGGCCTCTGCCCCACATCCTGCGTCCCTGGGGTCTTCTTCTGGGCATTGGAGACATTAACCTGCTGTCACTGTAGGTCAGGAAGCTCCCTAAAGCAGTTCTGGCTTGCATTCTGGTGAGGGGGAGAGACTTAGAGGGTCCTGCGGGCTGGGCCGGGAGCAGGGAGTCAGTGCCAGGCGGACCGTGGTGGGAGGACTATCGGTGGACTTGCGGGGAGGCTGAGGCGCACTCCCACGAGGCCTGAGGCTCCTGGCACGACGTGGCCTCGCCCTGCGTCTGAGGGGAGCCCTGTCAGGGATGCAGGGGTGGAGGCAATGTGGACACTGCCACTGACTGCCCCAGCAGAGACCTGGACCCACCACTCGCCTTGCATTTAAAAAACAATCATTTCTTAGTACAAAGTGCATTTTTATTCTAGAATAACTGTAGAAATTGTAATAACTATAACTTTTAAGTGACTGACAGTTGCTGATGTTATTCCATAGTTATTAGTTATAATGACAATTTTTTTTTTAATTTGGTCTTTTTGAGACAGGGTCTCGCTATGCAGTTCAGACTGGCCTTGAGCTCACTTTGTAGCCCAGGCTGGTCTCGAACTCGTGACAATACTCAGCCTTGTGAGTGCTGGGATTACAGGTGTGTACCACCACACCCGGCACAACAATCTTAATAATTGAAAACGGTAAATAGTATTTTCTCCGGTGTAAAACCGGAGCCAAGTGAAGATCTGAAAGTGTTGTTCTGACCCACGGCCGCTGTGGGTTCAGGTCCCAGTGCCCACCTTTCGCGTGTGGGTACAGGGATTCCACTGGCTAAGCAGCGTGTGTTAGGTGCTGTCGAAGCAAAACCTGCGTCTGCTGAGGAATGGTTTACACGCAGTAAAACGGGCTTGGAAGACACTCCCTCCAGGTTTCCATTTTCTCCAGACTGACACGGTGGG